TCCTGAAGATTGGAAAACTGGCAAGGTGGTTCCACTTCATAAATCAGGCGACAAACACTGCCCCGACAATTATAGACCCATTTCCATAACCAGTGCTCCTTGTAAAATGTTAGAGCATATTATTTATTCACATCTTGTTAAATATCTCGAATCCAACTCTTTTTTCTCGTCCTCACAGCATGGCTTTCGTAAATTTCTTTCTTGCGAAACACAACTTCTCGTCTTTACTAACGATTTATTTTCATTACTTGATCATGGATCCCAGGTTGACTGTATTTTTCTTGATTTCAGCAAAGCATTTGATAAAGTTTCTCACCAACTACTACTCTTCAAGCTTAGCGAACTCAACCTCGACCCTCAGATACTAACTTGGATTGAGTGTTTTCTTACAAATCGTTCGCAGTTTGTTCATGTAAATAACTCTAATTCTTCAGTGTCTTCTGTTACTTCTGGCGTCTCTCAAGGCTCCGTTCTCGGTCCTTTGTTATTCCTCATATACATCAATGACTTGCCGTTGTGTGTCTCATCATCGCTTAGTTTATTCGCGGATGACTGCGTTATTTATCGTAAGATTACTAATGATTCTGACTCTCTCCTTCTTCAAAACGACTTAAATGCTGTTCTTGATTGGTGCAAGCTGTGGTCCATGACACTTAATACTAAAAAATGTAAAACAATGAAAGTGTCTCGCCGTAACACTACGCCTTTTATCTATTATCTTGATAACGTTTCTTTAGAATGTGTGACCTCATATAAATACCTCGGTGTGCATATTACTTCTAACCTCTCCTGGCATATTCATATTAACCACATCATTGCTAATGCCAATTCTATGTTAGGCTACCTAAAACGTAACTTTTCTCTAGCACCAGTTTCTCTCAAACTAATATTATTCAAATCTTTGGTTCGCTCAAAATTAGAGTATGCAGCTTCAATCTGGGATCCTGGTCAGACGACGCTCACTTCTCATCTCGAGTCAGTTCAGAACCGCGGCGCTCGTTTCATACTTAACAATTATCACCGTACAGCTAGTGTATCATCCATGAAATCTCTTCTCTCCTTGCCACTGCTTTCTTTGCGCCGTAAGTGTTCTCGTCTATGTCTTTTCTATAAAATATATAATTCTAACCCCATTCTTAAAGAAAAGCTCTTCCTCGTCCCACCTTACGTTTCTCCACGCATTGATCATCAGTACAAAGTCGGCATTCCTCATTCTCGAACCTCAGCCTATCACGAATCTTTCATTCCTAGGACATCACCAGAGTGGAACCACCTTCCGGCGTCATTAATATTATTACCCTCGTTATATGTGTTTAAAAGTGTTGTTACTAATTATTTTTGCGAAAGTGACCCGTGACCTATTCCATGTCTTCTATTACTGTTTGTTGTTGTTTTTTCACTCACTCCCCTCTGTAACGCCCCCAGGGCCTTGAGGGTATGTAAATAAATAAATAAATAAATAAATCGGGACTACCGCACTCCTTTGGGGGGGGGGGGGGGGGGGGGTATTTAATACTTTTTGCGCCGATGCATTTTGGTGGTTATAGCTCTTGTTGCGACGACATATTTTGTAGCACAACTGCGCTTCAAAAGATCAGGATTATCACTAAAAAAAAGCAGTGATTCCCGTTTTGCATCGCTCAAAATGAAACTTTTTTTTTCTACCAAAGAAACTTTTATTTATTAATTTTTTTCTAACGAAACGTGAAAATGCTTTGAATATTAACTGTTTTGAATGTTCTCTTCAAAACCGGAAACCACGAACATTGACTGTTCTGCAGTTTTGTTCGAAACCAGCTGCAACCCTCTCCTGCTTCAATGGTGAAAACTCGTCTGCAGTATTTCCTGAATAAGAAAAATAAGAAATAATGCAAATTAGAAGTGCAACATTTCTTTGCTGCCAAAAAGGTTATTTTTCTGCCAAAAAGGGCTGCAAAAAAACCTTGCCAACGTTGTAGTGGTATAATTACATCACAATGTGGTTTTGGCTGGCGTTACTGGTCCGTTCTGCACTAACACCAATCGAGATCGCAGAAAGCAACTTCAACCGTAGGGCGACTGTTAACGTTTGGAGCAGGCACCGACATAATATAACTGAATGAAATTTGTACAAGAAAACTCATTCCCCTCCAACGTTTCTACGTGCCTGGCATGTTTGGTTCATGTTGAGAGATGCGAAGTATTACGGCGCGTCAGGCGTGGTCCATCCCGAACTTTTTGAATGCGAAAGCATTAACTGGGGGTCCCATTGAGCAAACCGGCGTTATCATCTCTTGAAGCCGAACCAAACGGCACCTGATTTTCCCTCTCCCATGGACCGAAGGCTGTAGTCTGTAGCTGCTACCGATTGGCTGGCGCGCGGCATATAGTTCCAAGGAACGCCGCCCCACAGATAGGCCCTCTCCATGGTGGCGCAGCGGCGGCCGGTTGCAGCGCCTGCAGCGCCCGCCCGGGCAGACTGCGGAGAGGCAGCACGGCCGTAGTCCACGTAGTCTATTCTTACAAGCTCCGCTTGTAGGAATACGCTACGCATACGCATGCCTTCGCATTCCGACACGTTAGCAGTCTTAAAGGGATACTTCAACGAAATTTGAAATATTCCCGTCGTGTTCAAAAATAGGTTGAATATGATCCACAATATCCGTAAATGACAATCGCACGTTTGTATTTTGATCCTGGTGGCTGTATTTTTCGTTATAAACGGCCCACTCTGGCAAGCGCTCGGAGAAGGCCCAGCTTAGAGCACGTGACATCCAACGCAATCGTGACGTAGGTCGTCTCAAGACGAGCAAAGCTACGGCGAGGCTGAAGTCGAGAGGATGGCCTAGTCGTTCCAGCCACCGAAGCGGCTGCTTTTGTACGAATTTTGAGTGACGGGTTAACCTTCTATAATCTTCTAGGGGGACAATAGCGACTTCTGCGACACACAAAAGGGATTCTCGGGAAGAGGGGAGTTCCTCCTTACCCCCTTATCTCGTCGTGGCTGGAGACGAGACAACCTCCGTCACTAGCTATCAAGGTTCCTAGACGAGCATTACAAACGAGACGTTAGCGACATCCACCAGGTGCTCTTTGCTAATCGTTTAATTCGTTTTAAAATTCCTTTTCGAGACTTTTTTTACAAGATATTGGTATGTTCTATGTGATACTGCTACTTTGAGCACGTATAGACCAAAAAATGAGCGCCGAAGTTTCGTTGTAGTATCCCTTCAAGTGTCTGTAGTTTCTTTTTTTTTTTTGTGCAATCTTATCCCCACAGTTTATCTGTAATCCGTCACAGAGGCTCTCAGTCAGAGTGAAACGACACTGAAGAAACTATCGCTTCCCGAGAAAGTCTATTTCGGTACCCTTAGTTCATTGGCTAGGTTTACATGAATGCGATTGTACCGCATGGAATCGAGCTGGGGCAAATCGCAAGTACCCTATTTACTTCTTCCCCTCTTCTACACATCTACTACCAATTAATATAGTCAAATCTCGATTCTATGCGCTCTGGTGGCATTCATAAATATGGAGCCAGAGTCGATTAAGCGTTATGCAGAGACCTGAGCACCATCAAGATGCATTTTCCACCTCCGCACTCGATGGTGTTCCGCGGTGCTACATGGAGCCGATGGTCCCTCGAATGTTTGTGTTCAATGACATTGAACTAGGTGTTAACTTGTTTCCAAGTTCATTGATACGTTCGAGCAGCCTGAATGCTCGAGTAGTGGCGTCGTTGTTTTTCCCACAGCCGCAGTGGAAGCACCGTGTAAACGCGGTCAGTTCAAGTGTCCATGAAGACGACGAAGCAGAAGACGAAGCGGTTCTAAAGCGATAAGACGACCACAGCTGCTTTTCTGCGCTTGCTGACAAACTGAGGCATCACAAACAACACTATCTTACTAAACAGGCATCGTAGGATAATCCAAGCCGATGCCGGGGCGTCCCAAACGATCACTTTTATTTAGATATACTGATAACCTCCCTTTGGAGGTTGTGGCAGGAGGGGTTAAAATAAATGTACGATTTTGCAGCCGCACCGCAGCTCTATGCAGGCGAGAAAGAGTAGCATGGTGGAATGCGCACGTCTGCGTGGTTCACTCGGTGAGATTGGTGGAATGCAGTTAAACTGGGAACAGACGAACCGCGGAGGAGGCAGGAGAGGTAGCACCTCCCTTCCGGACGCCAATGGCAGTTGGGGCTTTCGCCGCTTGGTGCTGCTTTTATGTGAAAGAGATCACGAAGCACAGGTCATCGGGCTGGTGGCATAAGTCGACGACGAACAAAGATTGTTATTCTCTTCCTTTCAATCCGTACAGCGAAAAGTGCGCGCACAGCGCTGCAAAGAGGCATCGTCGTGACACATATTTCAAGTTTTGGTTGTGGAGAATGGTAGAGATAGGACTGGCGCCTAGCGGGAATATGAGATTCTTACCCTTCTCCATTCAGTCAAACTTTTTTTTTTCTAAGATTAGTTAAGTGTTACCCATCCAGATAAATTCGGCACAGGGTAAAAATTCCTAGATGCCAAGGCCGTATTGGAGGATATTGTTTTCCTCCAATACGGCAATAAGTCTGACCACAGCAGACATTATACTCGGATGAAGCCAATGAGGCAGAACAAGAAATACATCGCCACGGCGATCGCCGTCTTCGTGCGTTTTCAACTGCCAAACCAATCACGTGCAAAAAAAAAAAGACAATAAAAAACACAAGATCACAGGTCTTGTTTTGTGAGGTGTTACAAAACCCCTACGTAAACAACGCATCAGCTAGCGTTTCCTTTAACGCTCTACTCTTTTGTTAAAGAATGGACGAATTCGAGGTTAGAAATTTCATCGCGGTCGCCGTCACCGTAGCCGTATAGCGTTTCGTCACAACCCGAACTTGGCCGGTTAATTTTCAGCTACAACACGTTTACGATAAACTACGGATAATGAACTAGTTTCCAGCCGGACCTATATCGGGATACTGTTGCGCGTTATGTGGTGCCAACGTGGAATATTGGTTGTGCCACTATGTCGCCTGGCGACATGGCTGAGGTGGGTCACGTACATCACGTGACGTGCGTCAGGTGCCGCGAGGTCACGTGACGTCTCGATGCCACGTTGTGTTTCGCGTGCCGCGGCGACTCGATGGTATAACGTCACGTGACGTCACACGATGCTACACCGTGACGCTTCCTAGATTTTACTGATATGCCGCTCATGCACACCGCATACGAGATGTTTGAGCGGCGGATGAAATAAGTGCCCTAAAGCCGGTTCGCACATTTTCCTTTGACCGCGAACGATTGCGTTCTGATGTCATGTGACCGCTTGCGGATAAAGAGAGCACCACGGATGAGTGAGACAGACCAATACGCACTGGAACTGCGCGTAGAGAAGGTTTTTCAGTATTTGCAATATCATTTCCATGCAATATTTATAAAGAAAAAGTAATGTCGTTTACGATATTGTCATAAAGTATATCAAGCCCGTGCTCAGACAGTAGAGCGTGCTCAAACAGTACCGTGCTCCAACAGTACCCGAGGGATGGCGCCAGCGTGGTCTCTTGTCGTAAGTGTCCGCGAGAGATCAGAACGCATTCGCTCTCAGTCAAATACAAATACATGACCCAGCCTTTAGTGTTTCGCCTTTCTTCTTGATGTACTTGTGACTGGGTGTGAAGCAAAGATAATTTAAAGTGGAAGAGAGAGAAACAGATTCACAAAAGGCGAAGTTTCAAACTGAGCAGATTAATTTATTCGGTAGCGTCTTCACATATATGCAATATTCTCCAGGTCGCCAACCAACAACCCCCCACACAAAAGACCCAGAGGGCCAGAGCATAAGCAAACACAAAAAGACTTGTCCATAAGCGATTACAAATTACCTAAAGTTCGAGGCGCAGCCGACGCTACGAGCTTATGGGAGCCATGAGTTATGTCACATTCAATTGGGGCGCACCACACCGCACCGCACTCCACCGACGGACGCGTCGCGTTCACATGGTCGTGACGGTGCGGCTGCACTACGTTCATTTGGGACTTGGTGCGGCGCACGACACCGGCGCGTTGCTGCACCAGCTGCACCGTCGAAAGGAGACCGTGCAGCTTCGCGCACTGTGGACCGGCGCGGCCTTGAGCTACCGCTCTCCGCCTCCTTCGGCCCCTTCTTTCCCTCGCTTCGTCTTCCTCGTCGCGGTAAACATGGCGGCTCGGGAGACTCTCGCTAGATGGCGCGCGCCGCCGCCCCACTCGCGGCGGATTTTGTTCAGTGGTCCACCCGTTAATGTTTTGCCCTTGAAGTGACCGCGCCAAGCGCGTTGCACGGCGGAATGCTTCGTGTTCACTTGGTAATCCGTCATACGCTGCATCCACGCGGTGGCGCGGCCTTGGGGGCAGCACTTTCTCGGTGCTGCGTGCGCCCCAATTGAATGTGACATTAGTGTCAGAAGCGGACCATCATGGTGCTAATGTTTCTGTTCGTGTTGTATCATCGTTGAACCAATCATAAGCAGAAAATACCTCGTAACTTGCGCCTTTGACGATGCTTGAGTGGTCCCATTTTTTTTTGTAGCGTCGGCTGCGTCTGGACGGAAACGACAACTCCGCTCATTCTGAATGTTTCCGGATAATGAGTGATTTAGCATCAATAAACCCTAGTAAAAGAAACCACGTCATTTTCTTCGCGGAAAATGGGCAATAGGTATATTTTTAAATCTAAATTTAAACACGAGAGGAAATCGAAACCGAAACTTCGGCTCCGTCCGGCAACATTGGCCTCGGGCCGCCAAGAACATGACCATCACGGCTGCATTCCAAATCTTACACAAATGGATCCGAGTTACTCCGGCGAATCGTTTCACGTGACAGCACAGATTGAAAAACGCTGGACGCGGGTAGGTTTTAAAACGCCAAGGGCACAAAACCCTTACCCTGGAGTAAGATCGAGTACATTTTGGAACACGCTACGTGGAACGAGATGTCACGTGGTCCTCTATTTAATGACGGGCGGGATTGGGGCGGGCGTGTGGCAGGCGGAAGTGTCGTCTGCACCGCACTCTTCAGCACGTTTTGGTGTCTACAACATTCCACGACTTTGGCACGATTCTGGCATAACTCTGCGCACGTAGTGGCCGTAGTGTTCATGAAACTGCGAGAGACAATAATCACAAACGGTGAGACGACGACGATGGTTGTGACGCGGAAGATGGCGGTAACGGCGGGACCATGGCGGGGCGACTTGAAGGATCCCAAGAAGCGCACAAGCCAAAGATTGCGATGGTGATGACGTTTAGCTCAATTTTGGCTTCGCCCAAGCCATAGCCTTGACTGCGCTGTTGGTTGCGAATCAACTCGACCGGTCGAGTCAGCCGATTTCGGCAACTTGGCAAGTTGCAAGGTTTGCCCGACCGTTTAAGAGACATTTAGACAGAACTACGTCGTAATATTTGAAGTGTAGTCTTCTTGGGTAATACTGAAGGGGACTACATTGTTTTTTTTTTCAAAAACAAAAATGAAGCGGAGTTGTTTTTTAACTAAAACGAAATATAGTCATCCTCAGAGGCATTCGGTTTCTTTCTCTTGCACTTTCGATTCTTCGCGTTCTCCGCCCAGCCTGCGGTGGCTTAAGGAAATTATAAATCAACACTAGATTGCGCGCGCCATCACGGCTTTATCTCAGCCGTTGTCTTCCTCGTCATCGTCCCGGCTTCTTTCTCGCAGGGCCCCTCAAAGTCCGGCACCATATTCCCGCGGACGCCGAGCTCCCCGCATGTCCTGCAGCTGGCCGCGGCGGCGTCGGCGTCTCCGGGCGCCGGCGTCGGCGCGGCGACGTCGTCCGCCCCGGGAGCTCCGGGCGCTCCGGGAGGACTCGGAGGAGTCCCGGGGGGCCCGCCCCTGCCGGGCTCCCAGGTGCCGTCCCTCGAGGACCGCTCGAAGCTGAGCGTCGCCGGGTGTCCCGTCAGTCCCAAGGGCGGACGCCGGCGCAGTGTCATCGCAGAACTCGTCAATCCCGGAGGAGGGGAGAAGGTGCGCACCTCACGTTTCTTTGCACGCCTATCGTTGGTGTTGTCGCTTGTCCTAGGGGATAACACCCCCCGGCATGTTCCCCCAGGATCCTCAAAGTGTGCTTCCGAAGATGACATTTTAAGAATGTTTAATACCCTAGCACCCTTAGATTTTTTTTTTTCTTTCTGCAAATCCCACCCTAGGGATGTTTAGCAAAATCCTTATAGCATTGTTCGCAACTCCAACTGGCTATAGGTGGCGCCACTCGTTTTCCAAAATGGCGGTTACAGTGGGGGTCGCAGATACGTGCCGCTATACCTGTTGCTGAACCTTTCCACTGAGCTGGCTTGACTGAGCGACACAAATTATTCCTGCTTATAGACCAACACGCGGCCCTGACGTCACGAAGCTGCGGTGGCGCTTCCGACGGCACTGCGCATGCGCAAACGCTTCACTCCTCCCGAATTAGGTTTCTGCGCACACCCAGTGCCCACACCATTTGGTGTGGGCAAACGCGGGCTTGTTTGTAAACAGGGTGTCGGTCTATACGAGGAAGCTAGGGTGTTACGAGCGCAGGTCCCCTCTTTATCCTGAGAACAAAAACGCTGTTTAGCGTGATATTTACGCCAGGAGTCACGTTTTTATTCTGGAACGAAACCGAAACTAACCTTTATTTTCGATTTAGTTCATCGGTATAGGTGTGAATATCGGATTCTTTCGTAACTCAAGGTGTGTCGCACAGCGTTATTATTGAGTTAAGGAAGTTGCTTGGCGGAAGTTTTATTTTGTGAGAAACGTGCCCGATCCAGGCACTTCAAAATAATTTGGAGATCAGTGTTCCTTTAAAGGCAGTCTCTCATACACCTTAGAGGTTACATATAAAATTATATTTGTTGAAAAAAATCAGTGCTGATATATGAGTGTTCCTTCTCACTTTTCTCCCTCTCATAATTGTTACTTGAACTAATGAACTGCGGGACTTTTAATGGATTTTGTGGTATTTAGATTCATAATTTATTTAATTCCCTACTCAAAAATAACAAAATCAATCTAGGGAGAGGTTCGCGTGTTTTTTATTTTCTAGGAAACGCGAGACGGATGTGACTTTATATTACATCCAGTGTTTGGCTGTTTATCTTTCTCTCTTTCTTTCTCTCTCTTTCTCTCTCTCTCTCTCTCTCTCTCTCTATATATATATATATATATATATATATATATATCTTAATAACGATGTCAGAATGTTTCATATCCCAAAAATAAAGCAAAACGAGACCTTTCTGAAAAGTCTTTTTCGGCTAAATGATGTCTTTTTGTGATCGTGGAATTTATTCGGGGCCTTCGTTGCCGTAAGTTGTATTATTAACAATAATACATTGAAGATGTTTGAACACGTAGTTTTTCAAGCTCTAATATAATTTGTTGCTTATGATCTAATTTCGAACGCGCGAACAAGTATGGCAATCAAAAGTGTCAAAATTATCCGCACTGGTGCCAATTTCAGCGTTTTAATTAACAAATTATGAAATATAAATTGTCTAAAATTAATGAAAACATTCGAGCTAATCTGAGAAATCCGCGTAAAACTACATTAATTGTTCGCAACGCATATGGTGCTATCATGTCGCCACTTTGACAATCGGGAAAACTTCCACGCGAATCCTTTCAAACCAAATGCCTCCCTTCCCCTCCCCCCTGGAAAAAAAATTTAGAATATTTAGTTTTATTTATTTTTACGCGCCGTCGTCTTGCCAATCTCATGCCTTTCCAGTTCGAAAGACACTTGCCCGCTTGCAGGTCTGCTCACTGCAGCATGTTTTGTTGGAGTTGAAAACTGGCAAAACGGTAGTGAGTTTTAGTATTGCGTATACGAGCGAACGCAAGCACTGTATGTTTGCGTTAGCGTTGCGTGTTCTACACTGCGCGTGCAGGAGCCCAACAGTACGGTCTTGGATTGGCGCATCGCGACGATGAGCACGCACAGCGTGTTTCACATGCAGCGATTTCGGCCCAAGAGCGGCGCGATTTCTGCCGTCGTGGCGCTCGTGCCGCTCAACCGCTGCGGCTGGCCAGAGCGCCGCGACGGCAGAAATCGCGCCGCTCTAGGGCCAAAACCGCTGCATGTGAAACACGCTTAACGCGAAGACACAATGCTTTTGTTTGCTTCTATACGCAGTACTAAAATTCTCTAATAACATACAATCCCACACCGGCTGCAGCACTGCATTGGGACCGCGAATAGTGTTGTTTGCATTCGGAAATTGGGCATTTCGCAAACCATGATCGCGAGGAGTTCCGCCGTGCCCGCTGAGCAGGAGAACCTGGTGACCCTCACTAGAGCGCTTCCCCTTTCTGCCGCGGGAGGGCGAGCAACGGATGGAGACGCGAATAACGAGAATAACGCTCTAAGGCGTCAGTTCTCAATAACTGATGTTTCGCGCATCCATTGGAGATCACAGGAGTTGATGAAGGACGCCGTTCGCTGTGAGGTGTAGGGAAATGTATAGGTTAATTATGATATCGATTTAATAAATGAATATAACTAGACGTTAGTGTGAGGTATACTTCTGTCATTGACTTGCACACAAAAAAAACTCACCTGAAAATAAAGATACTTTTCCATCTAAGAAAAAAAATACAACTTTTATTGCCGGGTTTGACTGGTGAGGCAGGGCTTTGCGGACCCCTAGAATGCCTTTGCCAACCCTAAAGGGTGCGAGGACCCCCATTTGAGAACCACTGCTCCTAGAAAAGTCCGGTAGGCTTTTTAGAATTTTTTTTGTACGCTGATTACTTCCTAATCGTATTCGATGAGCACCGTTATGCCTCATTCACATTGGCGGCTGAACCGCATTCGCTTAGCGGTTGCAACAGGGTTGCTTAAAAATTCAGTCGCGCATTTATCATCGGAACGAGTGGATTCGCTTCGTGGTTGCGGTTCGAGCGCCGGTGTGAATGCAGAAGTAGAGTGGTTTTAGGGAGATAACTCCATAAAGGTGAACCGGCAGAGCCCTTAGAGTGTTTCCTCGGGGATAACACCCTACAGATATTTTAACAGGGGTCCAGGACACAGACAGTTTTCTCGTGGATGACAAACTTAGAATAATCCATCAATATTCCTTAAGAGTTTTACGTATAACATCTTTAGGAAGTTTTTATATTGTGAAACTAAAAAAAAAAAGAACATTTGCCTCCAGCAGAAGGTACAAGACAAAAAGTAAACGTTCTTGTTTTGCTTATATTTATTGATAACAATATACCTCTAGAAGTCCCAGAGCAGCTTGTGCACGCTCGGAGTTTTGCCACAACTTTATAAGCATGCCGGAACAATATTGCTCAAAGCACGTTGCTCAAGACTAGGTGGTGTTTAGTGCTAGGTTTCGTCATGTCGAAGGCAGTGTTGACGCTTCGCTCTTTTTATATAAGTGGGACCCCCGATCAGACGGTTAGTTAGATACATGCCTGCTTACGGAAAATGCTTCCATGGGGCGTGTTTTGGCTTGCATGGTAATGCAAGTTCTAGGATGTGTTGTTCGGATGGCTGATGTCTCCCTTGGCGCTTTAAGCATGCCTTGTAAAGCGGAACTGGGAGCGCCGATCCCAACGTTACTAAAACACTCAGTTGGGAAACTCGCTGTCGAAACCTGGGCCGCTGGCGTCCACCCAGACCGAGCTAAATGCGACAACAGCGCCACTCTTTTTCGTTTGTCTGTACTATGGTCACCTTGAGCTTTTTGAAGGCCTGTTTTTGCGTAAAAACAAACGGAAAAGACTCTTTTTGCATTAAATTTATTGGAGTTTAGTACCAAATGATGGGCGCGTGATGTTTTTATCATCTTTAGTTCGCAAGGTTTTGCGGAACAATTAATATTGTTTTTATACAACCATGCCTCAGCGGGCCTTTCAGGTAGCGCGTCCAGACCTAGGTGCATTTTAACTTCCGATGTTGAACGCGGCACGTCCGCCGGGGAGACGGGGGTGGCACCCTTGTAGCCTCTACCGCTGCATCTGTTCTTAAAGCCAAAATGGAAGTCACGTGCAGTTCCTCGAGTGGCCGCTGCGGGAGAAGTGGTGGCGTTGTGTTCGTCATTAGCTCGGTGCTCGGAGACAGATTGGGGCCACTTTTTCAAAGCTGTCTCTATGGTAGTTTCCCAACTGAGTGTTTTAGTAACGTTGGCCGATCCCAAGAGTCTTCTCCCGAACACTCTTAAGGTAAGTTCACACTCTTGCAACCGAGTAGGACCTAGAGAGACGAGACCTGTTTTTAAGCCTCTTCCTACGTCTTAGGACCAGCTCCGCTGCAGCGCATCCGGTCCTAAGATGTCGCAAGAGGCTTAAAAACCTGTCTTGTGTCTCTCGGTCGTACTCGGTCGAAAGAGTGTAAACGGGCATTTAGTTTATTCTGGTTCTTTAAGCCTATAATCGGTAAAGGTCAGTCGCATCACTGCACCATGACTTCTAAAGTTCACTTACTAAAAACGATATGGGAAATCCAAACAATCTTTTTTTAAAAAAAAAACTCCAATTATTAAAAGACGTTAAGACCTTGACTTGAGTTACATAAGTTAGAACTGCCATAGCCTACATCGGAACACTGTAATTGGACTTCAGTAAGTTGTTTTTATTTGTTCTGTGGGTAAAAAAAAATATATGTTTTACAGACGAATGTGGTAACTCTTGAAAACATTCTAAAGCTCATAGAACGAGGCTTGTTGAACATTACATTAGCGATTCCAGCGAAAAATACTCTAGCTTAATCTGTAGAATTATTGTTCAGGTTTTTCTTCGTTCATAATATAAAAGAAGATCGCTTTAGCAGTTCCGAAGCTTCGGCTTAGAAAATCATTTGCATAACTTTACATGAGCTATGTGATTAAGAATTACCTTAGCTTACACTGAGGAACTTAATTCGCCTTCTGTAATCTCGGGTCTTGGTTAGCTCCGAGAATAAAAGAGTAGGCGAGCATGGGAGCTCTCGGAAAACTTTTAAAGCTCCAGCTTAGCAAGCCAGCTGCGCGGCTTTCCATGAGCCATATAAAGAAGAATAACTCAAACTTTGTCTGGAGAATTTTATTTCGGCTTTAATCTGGTTCTGGGACTTTGTTCCTTTTATTATATATTATACCTGGTTAAGCTTAAACGATCTGTCTAAAAAAGTCCGTGAACGGTACACACTAATGCGGTTTATGCAGGTAACCTATATGACCAACAGTGACATAATTTAGGGGGCTAACTGTCACCATAAATTCGAACAATTAACTAGAAACGATTATTTAACGTCTTAATTATTGAAAATAAACACAAAGTTACAGTTGGATACTTAATGAGCGTTATTGAAATTCACAATACCAGTCATATTTGGAAAGACTTTGAGCGCATGGGAAGCTACCCAAGTAGCAGACCTGCACGGCCCAGGCTTGGGCCAGACTCGCGCGAGCTAGAGCCAACTTGGCTCAAGCCTGTCCCAAGCTTGCGCCAAAGTGGCCCAAGTTTGCGCCGGGGAAGTGTGCCGCTAGGGTAGTAACGCGCATAAGTTCCGACTCATGCAACAGGCACAATGCTGCGGCCATCATAAAAGACGGAAAAACAGCGTGGGCGTGATATCGCACCGGTAGCTTCGCTATCGTTGCACCAGTGGTAACTTCAGCGCTCCCATAATTCTGATTCCCCATGGCCCAAGTCTTTCTCATATTTATGATTTAGTGGTCTTCGGTGACGCTCCGCATGTTTTAATTAGAACCTCGTGTTTATTTTCATTTTTTAAAACATCAACTAACCATTTCGTTAAGTTTTTTACTTATCGGGACGATTAAGGCGGCAAAATTAGTCCCCTTGCCCTTATAACTCACCCGCACAAGGCTGATTAGTGTAGCCTAATTTCGCGGCTTTTTCTTTAAACAAATATGTTAAGCTTAAAAGATGAAACACTCTGTATGTTTAAATCAAGTGGATATAGGACCCTTGAGGATCTTCAGAGGCCCCAGGTAAAAATGCTTCTTGTAGAACATTACAGCGCCTGCAGTGAGAGCTACTTCGACCTACGCTGAGGTATTTTAACTTGCCTTCATGGGAAACCGTTCCGTGATTGGTTCAACTGATAAAAAGTAACCTTCAAAGCGAGTTAAACGTGTTTACAGGTCTCTTCGACACGTCACGTTCACAAGTCAGTCTCCCACGGTAGTTTCCTTGAGCACGACAGCGCCCCTGTATTTCCGTGTCAGTGTTCGTACGTTTCCTTCAAAATTTTATAGATGATTAAAATCTCCCTTTAGCACTTGCGTTTTGTCAATGATAAAAATATTTCACATATCCACTGATAGTTTAATAAAGGCCGGGCGTGGCTTATTGCGTTCTTGCTTCGCGATTGGTTATGTGGCATCCTTCTTGACCAATATCGCTCTTCCGTTGGGTGCCGAGACCTAACAAGATGAGTGGGACTCATTACACCCTGCTAATGAGGTGGGCTGTAGAAAGTTCAAGAAAGCCATTTGTTATGCATTCTATTACCACGGCTACCTTCCGGAAACACACGTGAGATACGGCTAAATTTAGCGGGCACAGCTTCCGCTAAATGTAGCGGAAAGCATTTTTTTCCCGCTAAGTTCAGCATGGAAGTTATGTGTGACAGTCTTGTGTGACACTTCTTTTTCTTCAGAACTTATTTTTTTATTAAACCTGAATACGAAGAAAAGTTCGTGAATAAAGAGTGTAGTGGTTGCATTGTTATTGTCTTTATTTTTTTTTCACGTGGTTTTTGTTTTGTTTTCTTGTTTTCAGGTGCGCACACGTCCTGCGACGCCCCTGGAGGCCAATCCCATCTCGCAGTTCTACGAGATCGGGCGCCAAGTGGCCTCGGCGGGACCCGAACTGATCTGGAAGATCTACGACGCTCAGCGCAAGTCCGACAAGCGGGTGAGCTAGACTGGATCCTATACGGCGAGGAAGCTCGTCGAATAGCTTGCCCAGCCGATGCAGTGGCGTCAAAGCACTGACCTCTGAACGAAAAAACAGCGAATAGACACAAAATCTCGCTGTGTTTGTCTCTCCATGCTGTATTCTTCCAAGTAGAGCAAGCAAGATTGTCGTCTGCTCCTTGTACCAAAGGAGCAGCGGCGCCGGGGTCAGGCGTTCGAGTGCCTAGTGCTGATACTAGTGCAGGCTACCTAGCCTGCTAATACTAGTACAGGCTACCTTACCTTTCCTACGGCTTTTGGAGCTCCACCGGGTCTTTACGAACAGACATCTGGAGAACAGAACGGTAGGGCAAAAACGAGCTGATGATGACTGGCGATAATATACTGAAACCCCAAGACTAGAGGCACAAGGAACAACACGACAAAGACGTCTCAATATCTCTTGAGACTTATGTATAGGGTCGTCCCTGGTTTCCCTTAGTCTCGAGATTTTAGTCTACTATGAAAACCTATAATCTTTGAGAGCTCGAAGAGAAAATACCTTCAAGGGTGCACTGTTATTTCATTCTGACAAGCAACTACCAGACGTGTCACAACGAGCGAGGAACGTACGGTCGATGTGTCGTCTGGTCCCCGGCTGTTAAGTACACACCTGCGGGGCGGAGCTTTGGCACACACGTGATCGCTCCGCCTCACCGCGCCTGCTCTCTTAGGCGAGCTTCTCCTCTCATGCGCAAAGGACGTGTTTCTGTTCACTTTGCGGGTTATAACACGTTTGCAAGCAGTTAAAAAGGGCCATCTCACGATATTTGAGCTTCTGCGCTTTTTATGTTATTTACACATTGGTGGGTGGGGCTAGCCAGGAAAGAAGTAACATCCACAAAATATTAGTGCATCATGTTTTAATGCGATCAGGCCAAAAAACAGCACAACCTCTGGTGGTGCACCAGCGTGCTAAAACACGCAGCGGAAATACAGTGGTGACATTGCAACTGGCAGCATTATCAAGAGCCGTCAGAATTTATTATATACAGGCTAAGGAATGTGTATCGCCCCGTGAGGTATCGTAGTTCTTTCAAACATTTCTTTTTATTCAGCAAGAAAGGTTAATAAAAGCAAGCAATATTTCAAATGTGCAGAGTTAAAAAAACAAGAACACTTATTGAGACGCCCGCCTCCCAGCGGCTGTAACGGCAAAACAATCGAACCAAGTTTTATTTTTGTAGTTATAGTGTTTTTTTTTCTTGTGCGAGTCACATTCGGAAGTCGCCGTTTGGGATGCCGGAACAACGAAGACAATGGGAAGCTTATTTCTGTGATTTGAATCTGTTGCTCTTGCCGTGTGTCGCGTGTTAGCTGTTCACACCGGTCAGTTTGGTGTCCTCGTGTGTTTTGTGCTGTCTTTTACATCGGTGCGCTCGACTGGACGAATCCGCACATTGTAATGGCTCTACCCCGAGAAGCTTCATAGGCCTAAAGAGCCGGACGCTTGTTTCCCTCAATGCCGCCACAAGTTTTAAGGCGGATGACGTGCGAAAGACATGGTTAATTAGAATTCAGGAGGATATCATTTATAAGGCATGTATGATCATGGGCTAGGCGTACGTGGCGGCAGCCGCTTCCTTTAAAAACAACGAATTCCAATTGTTGATTCGTTCAAACAAAAAAACCGGCAGGCGGTTTCGTGCCGAGCAACTTCGAGGTGCGCGGTATTGTGATCTTTTCCAGCCGATATTTGTGTAACCTCCAGGAGAAAATAAATTCCTCTTTCAACTCGTTATTCCCCTTCATTTTTGTCATTTCTGACCCTATCAAGGTGTAGCTAACCCCTACCCAAATCGCTGCTTCGATTACACCGATCGTAATAAAAACCGATCAGTGGAAGCGGGAAAAAAAGATGAAACAGAGTGCGCTGGACCTCGCTGGACTCAGTTTGGTCGGGCTCTTCTCGGCGCGACAGGGCAAGCGGGGCGCGGCGTAGTGAACGATCTCAGTACGATAGCGTTCAGAGCCTGAATCGAGGCTCTGAACGCTATAGCAATAACCTCGATGGCTACGATACGTACCGTCCTCGGCGCGGCAGCCATGAACCTAACCCGCAGCCAATTCACCAACTGCTTCGCTCCAACCCTTCAATGAATCCCTATTGAAAATATGCTTGAGCCCTGATAAGTTATGGGAGCCTCTCAGCCCTTCAAATTCCTCATCCTATTAAAGCCCTCAGCTCATCAAACCACTTAAGCGATCCAAACACCTTCAGCCCTTCAGACCACTCATGTTTCGGATCCCTTCAGCCCTTCAACATTTTAGACGCCGAAATTACCGTGAACCATAGAACAAAATTGCAGTGTAAAACGTTATTTGAAGTTTATTTCATAAATTGAGTTCTGCATGTATGCTGTAACTCAAAAAGACTATATGAACCAACGTTACTCAAACCAAGATGCAAGCAGCTGCAGACAAAAGCCATTCGACCATGCAGGGACAAGCGAATACCTTGTAGGAAAACATATCTTTCGATGTACTCACAATGACACTGGGTAAACTCTTGAGATGCATGGTAGTTCAACTAATGAAACCAAGGAGATATTCCACACCGGCACACACACTGGAATAACACGTTTAGTGAAAACTACGAACGCGAAACCAGCGTCCGCTGCCTTTGAGAAATTTTGAACATGGTCACAGTATCGTCGCTGGTGCCGTCTCGGTGGCGTCCCCGGTGCTTTTCTCACTCGCTGGACTAGCTTCTGAAACTGGACGGACAAAGAGGTGCAAGGAACAGGGCACTGAGAGACCTTCTCCATGATTGGCACACTGAGTTGCTCTAGGAGATGGGCCTCGGGCATTGGGTAGAAAGCCGACACTGAGCGTCTTCTCGTTGAGGCCGCCCAATACAAACTAGCCAAGAGGCTTCACCGACGCATTTATCCTAAAGGGTCAGGTGTTTTTTAAACATATAATTTCAAACGATCTTGATGGGTACCGTGCTTCCACGAAAAAGGTTAAGAGAGACCCCACAGCCTCTTACGAAGCTATGACGTGTCTCTTACACCAAATATAAATTCTTGAAGTGTAAGTCAGGCCACTTAGAAAACTTCTATGGTCATTTCAAAACCTTAAAAACAATTGAAGAGTATGTCAAAACATTTCACAAATGCTGGTGGGCCCCATAGATGTTTTTTTTCAATATGAGTAAATTGTTGCTAATACGTCACGGACCTCAAATGTATTGCTTATTTGTAATTTTAATTTTCATGATACACTAACATAAATCACATTTTCAGAAAATATGTTTTTCCTCTGTGTTCCTACGTTCGATGAACTCCGTCTCAGCCCAAGTTCAAAACCAGTTAAAAGACGTTAGAGTTTTTGTTTTTTTTTAAACAAAAACTCGCGTTTTTGTTTTAAAGAGCGCGTTACTCCCAAGTTTGGCCAACTTGGGAGTAACGCGCTCTGTCGTGTCACAAGTCTGGCAGCCGGGAGCGCGCGTTAGCGAAGCTTGACTATCGGACGGTTTACAAACACCGGCTGCATGGGGGCCATGTCCCGAGGCCGTAGCTACTCGTGCGCATAAACCATTTGAATTACCTCCTCCTGCGCGCTGCCGTCTTTGTCCACTGGGCCGTGAAACGCGTTCTGATCTCGTGCAGCAGCTCTGTTCTGTGGAGTATTCCACGCTAAGTGTGTGTTCCAGAGCTCAGTCGCCTGCCATTTTACGCTAGGTGATGAGAACTGAAAATGTGTATGTAACATTGCTGGCCGTCGTACTAAGAATAACGCAGCGTTTTTTATTTGAACCCGCATTTAGACAGACCTATTATAAATGCATGTGCATGTTTTGTCCTTGCCCTCTTTATTTTAAACTAGGTTAAACTAACCTTTAAAGGCACAAGCAGAATTAACATTTACAGACAACATACGCCTAAATTCCCGAGACTGGGGAAAGTGAATGCGTAAAACAAAAGACGATATTTTTTTAAAGCGTGGTTACTGAACCTGCTTTGTGGTTTACTTGTTCTAAATATCTTCAAGACGTTTTGTTACAAAGAGATGAAAGATAATATACCGGCAGCGAGTCCCGATCACACAAACTCACTGAATTTTGTTAAAAAAAATATAGGTTGATGTTGAAAACGGTTTTGGAATGGCTTGTATGTGTGTAGGGGAAACTGCATGCGTACGCCCACATGAATGATTCCATGAAAGTGGGAATATCGAGGTTGTCGGGTAAAGACAGCGCGAAACAACACTAAACCTTCTGTGCTGGAAGCATTATTAGATACTCACGTCTATGTGAAAACATAAATCACGACGTTGGTAAAATACCGGCCGTCCTTTTTTGAGATCGCACCCCTGACCGAAGCATGTTTCATTACATCATTAGTATACTGGTCATCGGCAGTTTTTTTTTTCGCCAAAATAACTGGCGAGACAACAATTTGCGTGTACAGTTGGTTTTATAATATTTAATTTAGATAAGGCTTCAAATAAGTCACTTGTTATAAAATTTGTATATTTATTGGTAGTGATTCTAAACCTGTTACACACGTAATCGTACAGCCACCTCCTGTATTAGTATGCTGGTATCTGGAAACATGGCAATCTTTAAAAAAAATGCTGAGCTCGTTTATTTTTAATATAATTATTATCACGTTTAAAACGTAATGCTTATTACCCTAGAGGTAGATATGTAGTACTTGATGGACAGCGTTAAGGCGAACAGTCAGTCGCCGATTTATGTTTGTTTTCTTTTCAATTTGAACGGCTATCATCAAAACCATCAGTGGTGGCTGTAAAGTGCGAATTTTGTCTACTCAGCGCTAAACCTTGACGACCCTCAATATTTTTTCATCTTAAATTTCAAAAAAAAGCACCCATGTTGCGCACGCTCTAGAAGTGTGGCGCGGTGATCAACCCCAAACCTACGGCAAACGTTCGGCGCACAGCCTGCTCGTACGTTAATTAACAAATTTCTATCGCAGCACTTTGATTTCT